ATTATTTAATTAATTAAATTTAAATTAATTTTTATTAAATTTTATATAAATCAGTTAAAAAATATTTATTATATTTTTAATACGTGCTCTTTAAACACATACATGATAGAAAAATAAGAGAATGCAACTTTGTGTTGAAAATACCCTTTTATGGCAAGCCAGAGAAAGATACGGTCAAAGCCAGCAGCAACGGTCATTTGTAATAAATCTCTCATATTTAGGCGCCAAATGTGGATTCAACATCAAATTTACAGTTACTAAACTTCAGGAGAGCAAGAGAGAGGATTTCCCCCAAACATTCACTAAGACACTAACCCCAGAGAAAAATCTCAAGAAACTGAGCGAAAATTCGACAAAGATTGTATCTTTTCCCAGAAAAATGGCGCAGGCACAACCGGAGGAGAAACCCCAAGAATGCCAAGTGGTGGAGGTGAAGGAGGCGATGATGGTGAAGAGTAGTAGCCGTAGTAGTGTTGGGAGTAGCAGTGTGCCATTCAAATTCAATGCGCAGGCACCGGAATTTGTGCCAAGATCGCATGCCCAGATGCCGATATCGGGATATTTCTACCCGTGTTTTCATTATCTTGGTGGGGGGGCTGGGTCGGATTGGCTCTTTGTTGGCGATGATCAGGATCCGGCGGCGTATTTGCTGTCGAACCCTAATATGTCCATCCCTAATTGTTCGTCCAAGAATGTGCTCACTGATGATCTCCGGCAGAAGGTCGTCAAGCAGGTGGCTTTTTAAATTCCGCATGATTTCTGTTTTGTTTTTGTGATGATTTCTGGTCGTTTTTAGATTCAGGATAAAGCGATGGATCCACCCCATGGTATTTGAATTTGATATTTTGATGGTTGTGAATTTTCTAATTCTTGATCTGATCTGTCTTTTTCCTCCTTTTTGGATATCTGAAATTGCTAGATGGATTATAAAAGCATCATTATCTTCTTGCGCTCTCATTTTGTGTCTGTTGGTGTGAGAAAAGAGAGTTTTCCTACCTGAGTCTCTGCACTTCTTAATAATAAGAAAGTTCATTTCTTTTAGGTGGAAGATTGTTTTGGATTATAGGTGTAATTAAAGATCCACTGTCATCTTTGTACGTAGATGATATAATGATTGTTTCGAGGGTTCAATAGAAAGAATTTTTTCCCACATTTTTCGTCTGTTTTATTGTTCCAGAGTGCATGTTTTTATATCATTCTATAGATCTCGTGCTCTGCTAGTCTACCTGGTCAAGTTCAGGTTCTCCTGAGAAAACCTTTGTGGGAAGCGGGAACACTCATAATCAAATGACATAGAAAGTTCAATATCTTTTCCACTTTTGTGTATTTGACTTAGTTAGGATCACAATACTGTCATATTCAGCATGTACAAATCTCCTAGCATGGTTTTCCTTTTCCCTTCACATTCATGGATTTCAGTTGGTTCGCAGATACCACTAGTTTGAGTATTTGTCTTATTATTGACATTGAGGATCCAGAATTCACATGTCATTTTACAGGCAATTCCTGCATTCATTCAATGGAAAAGAAGTATAGGTTCCTGTTGATCTTTAGAATAAAGCTGAAGAACTTCAGCTACTAACTTTGATTAGTGTTTGAATCTAAAGGATGGTTTATTTGTGAAACAGGTGGAATACCAGTTCAGTGACATGAGCCTTCTTGCAAACGAATCTTTGTCAAAACAAATAAATAAAGATCCTGATGGTTATGGTAAAGATCAATGAAGAGTTTATATAAACCTGTAACTCAAATTAATGTTCTTACACTTTCAATCAGAATATTTTTCACTGACAAGTGTTGGTTCTGCAACAGTGCCAGTATCTTTTATTGCATCTACAAAGAAAATCAAGTCCTTGCTTATTAATAACCAGTTGCTTTCACAGGCACTTCGGACCTCTTCAAAGCTTGTAAGTTCTTTGGTTAACTTGAGCTCCTATTTCCCTTCAAAAAGAATTTATAAATCATCTAAAACCATTCTCTTGGTCCTCTTTGATGCCTTCTGTCTTATTCATAGAGTTAGATGTTTATTCTTTTATCTCTTTGGAAGGTTGTCAGTGATGATGGCAAGAAAGTTAGGCGTAAACTTCCTTTCACTGAAAAAGACAAAGAGGAACTGCAGGTAAGATATTTTAGATTACTTCCTATGACATGGATGATCCTGAACTGTCTACCTTCCATTTATCTCTTTTCTTTCTTCTTCTTCTTCTTCTTCTTCTTTTTTGTAATCAAGAAATGACGCACCCTTATTTCTTGCAGTCTTGTATTGTTGTGGTGGAGAATTTGCCTGAAGATCACTCACATCAGAACCTTGATAAAATCTTTAGTGTTGTCGGAAGGTCATTACTTGTTGCTTGTATAGTTAGTTATCATTTGTTAGTAGGATGCTTCTGCCAAAATTACTGACAGCCATTGCAACAAACAGTGTGAAAACCATCAGGATATGCCATCCTCAGGAATCCAATTCTTCCCGCTCTAAAGGTGACTTTTTCATGAGTAACAAGGTATGAAGATTATACTCAAACCTAATTTATTATCTAAGATATTATTGAAAAATTCCTTTGATACTGTATTTCTGTTTTCATTAAGATACATGCACTTGTGGAGTACGAGTCTACAGAGATGGCTGAGAAAGCTGTATGTTAACACTGCTAGTATCTGATATTGCAAGTTTTGCAGTTTTTTAATTCTTACTTTAAGAATAATATTCAGAACTTGTGCATTTCTCCAGGTAGAAAAGCTAAATGATGAAAGGAATTGGAGAAAAGGGCTCCGAGTGAGGTTGCTACTTAGATGCTCGGTATGTCTGATTAGACGTCCAGGCAACTGCATCTTTCACATATGGATTATTTTTGTGCTTTTGCTTTATACATGTATACAGTTTTTAACATCAAATGAATGTGCAGCCAAAATCTGTCCTGAAAAACAGAAAGTCGGAGTTTGATGGCATTTTAGATGATGATGACTCACCACATACTGAATGCAGTGAAGACTCCCCACATTCAATCCATGCTGATTCAGCTGAGAACAATGTAAGGACTTTGTGCATGTTTAATGATTTGTATTATGATCTCTAACAAAGTTTATCTAAACTCTATTTCACAAATCACATCATACCTGCTTCTATTAGAATAAAATGATATATGGTTTCACAGAAAGCAATTTTACTGTTCTGGTAGGCTGAAGCAAATTCAGTGGGATTAAAGAAGGGGTGGGCTAAAGGCCGTGGAAAGGGTCGTGGGCATGATGCACTTCCCAAACCGACCTTTAAGGGGCCAAGAATGCCAGATGGAACCAAAGGTTTCACCATGGGACGAGGCAAGCCCTTAAGCACACCTCTGGAGTGATGGATGATTCTTTCTCTTTCCTCTTAAGTCTATTTTAGCTTCTATAATTGAATGGCCCTGCATTTCCTGAAAGCAGCAAATGGTCTATGATCTGCTAGTCATGGCCTGGCATTAGTAATAATTCAAGATGTATAGCTTAGAATGGTTAATGGCATGTAGCTGTTTGCCAGCAGTTTTGATGATGAACTCTATATTTTGCTGTAGCATGTTGGTTAATGACCTGGGATTCAGTGTTCTGCTCTTATTATTTGTACAATCTTTTTAAATAATATAAAATCGAGGAGTAGTACTCCCTTCCTATATCTATCTGTTTCCTTACTCATTTCTACTATATTTTTCATTTTGGATGAAAAGTTCTACGTGGAAATGCATTTTTATATACATAGAAGACTCATGCCGATATGCTATAGAGACTGTACATGTGATTTCTGCCTTTACTCTCTTATTGTGCAAAACAATGGATCTTAATTTTGCATTAGTGTCTTTGTGTTTACGGAAATGAAAGACCGTGAATTCTATATACTGACATGAATATGTAAAATGTATGTATAAATTCAAGTCATTTAGGCTGAAAATCAAATTTGAACTTCAGATTTTGGTGTGTCCAGCAATGTTAAAAGTTTTAACTTTAATTTAT